CCCCCCCAACACCCACAAACCGGCCCCCAACACCCTCATAACCCCCCCCAATACCCCCTATACCACCCCTATATCCCCCTATATCCCCCTATACACCCCACCCTCAACCCCCCCATCCCCAAAAGTTTCTCAGCGGATTTGGGCTGTACTCATCAAACACAGTACAGCCCCCAACTCAGATTTGGAAAACAAATAAGTGGATGGCTGTTTTCTGACTGGTCGGCAGACCGCCGACCGGTCGGCCCTACTGGTCGGCTGCAATACGGTCGGCGGTCGGGGTCGGCGGTCGGCAGGGATGCAACCATGGTTTTTGGAGGAAAAATATTAAAATAACGATGTAAATAATCATTATAGCACGTTCACGAGGTCTAACCTACATGTCAAGTTACTTGATAACTTGACATGTAGGTTAGGCCTCATGAACGTGCTATAATGTATAAACTTTAAACTTTTAATCGCAAGAACTCTTGGGGGAAAAAAACAAAAAAAAACTGTGTCATTACCAGTGGTCTCAGGGTAAATAGTAAAAATTACTAAAAAACTAAAACAGAAAAAGGAGAATCTGTTCGATTTCAGATAGGTGATTGTAGGCGCCAGTCGTTCTATTCTTTTTTAAAAGAACCAAAGATAGGCTTGCCATTAAAAAAAAACTCAAAAAACTTAAAAAAAGAAGAAAAAAAAACTGTGTCGTTCTTCCTGCAGTTTTTTTATTTTATTTTTAGTATTAAAAAAAAAACTCTGTCATTCCCACTTGTCTCAGGGTCCCTTGATTGTAACGACGGGAAGTGTGGAGTGGGTCTTCTTGTTGTAAGAAACACTGGTGTTTCAAGCAGGGCTGGTCGCCGGATGGACCGGGGACCCCTACCCCATCCGCGGTCCTTCCTGTTGGACCGGCCGGTGGCCCAGGCCGGTTCCCTCCCGGTTGCCCCCAGCGCATTTTCGCTGGGGGCTGAATTTTTTTTTTTTGTTGGCGCGTATGTGTTCCCAAGGCCTCGTGGGGGCGGGCCCTGCCCCGCAATTTCCTGTAGGCCCGGATTTTGCAAGTACAGAAAGTGGCCAATCTTGGCCACCGATCGTCGCAGATCAGCGGCAAAGATCGCCCAGGACCCCATTTCTATAAGAAAAACGGGCAGACTATATCCGCCGCTGATCTATGCAGATCAGCAGCGGAGAACAGCCATGCGTTTTTCCTAAGATGTGGGTCGGGTAGGCCCCTAATCCAATTTGTCATCTTGTGGTCCAATGGACCAGTTACCATTGGCAACATCTGATGCTCTTTCACCCTCAGCCACGAGGGAAACACTATGCTTCTGATGAGACTCTGCTGAGATTATATCCTTCTGCGACGTCCCTGCCATCTGTGGAAAAAAGTTATGGGTTCGGATTTTGGAATTGTGATATCAGAGGCGTCCGAGGTGCAATCCCAAGAATAGACCTAAAATACAGGGCTTTGCTGCACTACTCTCGACATGCACAAAAGACAAAAATCTTGGCGGTGTATCTTTCCGAATTCTAGCGGAAGATTCACTCTCGTTTTGCACATTTCGAGAGTAGTGCAGCGAGGCCCATATTCTTCTCTATCTATCTCGAATGGACCTTGCTCCACTACATGTATCTGGACAGACTGCCAGACAAGATACTTCCGAGGTGCAATCCCAAGAATGGACCTAAAATATAGGGCGTTGCTGCACTACTCTCGACATGCACAAAGACAAAAATCTTGGCGGTGTATCTTTCCGAATTCTAGCGGAAGATTCACTCTCGTTTTGCACATTTCGAGAGCAGTGCAGCAAGGCCCATATTCTTCTATCTATCTATCTCGAATGGACCTTGCTCCACTACATGTATCTGGACAGACTGCCAGACAAGATACTTCTGGACTGACAACTCACCTTATGTAGGAACCAACAAACAGAAAACGCTCTGCCTCCACGAGCAGAAAGCTGGAACCATAACTTTTCTGCTGTCGAAATATACTCTGGAAGAGCTATAATTTCGGGCAAGGACCTCCTCTCATCATATGTGGTTCAGCTCGTGGGGTATCAATATCAAATGACATACTCCACGAAGTGATCCAGCGACGGGGGGGTCGGATAAGTGAACTTGCTTACTTGACCCCTCCCTGAGGAAGCCGTAGTTGCCTGAATATGTCAATGATAACCCCCTGCCCCCCTCTCGAAGCCCCCTGAAAAATGTGATACCTTAAAAAATTTATTGCGGATTCGGACAGCTCTTGAAGAGCGCAGTCGGAATCTGCCCAAGAAAAAAAAAAAGAAAAAGATATTTGGCCCCTTTTTTTCAAAACGGGTTTCCCGGTTCACCCCCCCTGGTCTGGTCCGGCTCCGGTTGGACCGGGGTAGCTCAACCGGCCGGTTGCCGGCCCAGCACTGGTTTCAAGTCTTATAAATAAATTCAGTGAAAAACATTAAAAAACTGCTACCTTTTTTTTGGAAAAAAAAGCAGAACAGGAAAAAGAAAAAAGTGTCGCTCCCATCCTTCTGCTGCTTCCTTGCTTGCTGCTTGCTTAATGTTCGCAATTTTTTTTTTTTTTTTTTTTTTTTTTGTGTGTGTGTTCAGATGTAGTCCTGGTCCCCTGGACACATTTTGACTGCTCTCAGCCTTTGGGAGACAGCAACAGCAGACATGACCTGCCGCGAATCACAGATATCATGAGATGTGTCTTTCTTCTGTTTTCAGTTTACCCTTTACTTCTGTTTTCAATTTACCTTTTACTTCTGTTTTCAATTTACCCTTTACTTCTGTTTTCGATTTACCCTTGGGACAAGGGGGGCAGAGGGCAGTGATTTGGGTAGGGCCCAGTGAATTGGTGGCAGAAAGAAGCGAAGATGTCAGGGGAGATGAGCTATACCGTCTCAGAATGTGGTCCTTGTCAGAGTTTGCATCTGCAGCAGCAGCGCTGTATAAAGGCATACCAGGCCTGGTTCTGTTCGGGGGAATGCTTTCGTCTAGCCGAGCCGTCTCAGGAATAGATTCTGACACCTGCTGTTCCCCATCAATAGATCGTAGCCATCAACACTACCGTCGACACCCAAATACTACCGTCGTCACCCAAATAGAACGCCCGATCATTATAGCTGCATTTGGCCCAACTTTCAGTCCAGATGCAGCGATAATGACTGGACGTTCTATTTGGGTGAAGACGGTAGTTAGGACTCCATCAGGTTTTGTCTCTTACGCTTGATCTAATGAAGGCTTGCCTTCTTCTTTTCTGTTTTTTGTTTTTTTACAGCATTTGAGTCCTGTTTGGACTCTTTTTTTTGTGACTCTTACATGATTTCCCCCCCCCCCCCTTTTTTTCCCCAAAGCATTGGACTCCTGTTTGGACTTCTTTTTTTTTTTTTCATGTGTGTGACTGCTGTTTGGATTCGCTGGTCGAATGGCGAAACATGTGTCCAGGGACTAACCCCAAACCTAACTCATGCGGGACTGCCGGAAGCGCCCAGTCTGCGTCTGCTTGTTGATGTTCAGGATGGTCTGCTGTAAGTGTCGAGCATGGGCCCGCCATCTAGAGATAAGACTCCATTCCCGTCTCTCTCTCTCTCTCTACATGTGTGTGTGTGTGTGTGTGTGTGTGTG